CTACTATTAATGAGTTGGGATTAAGCCATGTCTTAACGTCCTGTAGTACTGTTTTTATGAAGTTGGGTGCATCAGAGTTTGGTGAATATATGTTCATGAATGTAATATCTCTTGGTCAATTGTTCCTTTCATCAGAATGAAGTGTCCCTCTTTATCTCTTCTGATTGATTTTAGTTTAAAGTCTATTTTGTCAGATATTAGAATTGCAGTGCCTGCTTTTTTCTTAGTACCATTCCCTTGGTATATTTTTTCCATCCTTTCACCCTAGGATAGTGTCTTTTTTTTTTTTTTTCCATCCTTTCACCTTAAGGTAGTGCCTGTCCTTGAAAGTGAGATGGGTTTCTTGCATACAACAAAAAGATGGGTTTTGTTTCTTAATCCATTCAACTAGTCTGTTTCTTTGGCTGGGGAGTTCTGTCCATTGATAGTTATTAATGAAAGATGTGCATTGATTCCTGTTGTTCTGATTTCTGTTCGCATTCTTGGTGTAATTGTGCATTTCCACAGTTATTCCTTCGTTAAGTTTCTTTCTGTTACCCTTTGGGTATAGTCGTTCCTTTCTTCAGCTCTTTGTATTGCTTCCAGAACTCTCTGAAGGGCTGGTTTTGTGGACATGAATTCATCCAGCCTGTTTTTGTCATGGAAGATTTTTCTTTCCCCTTCAACTATAACAGACATTTCGGCTGGGTAAAGTAATCTGGGTTGGCATCTGGGGTCATTTAGATGGTCCAGGCTCTTCTGGTTTTCATAGTTTGCAGTGAAAACTGTAATTCTCATGGGTTTTCCTTTATATATGACTTGTTGTTTTTCTTTTGTAGCTTTCAGTATTCTGTCTTTGTTCTGTATGTTAAGTGTTTTTACTATGATGTGCCGTGGAGAGTTTCTTTTCTGGTCCTGTCTGTTTGGTGTTCTATGTGCTTCTTGTATTTGTTTAGGCGACTTTCTTCAATTTTGGGAAATTTTCTTCTACAATCCTGTTGAAGATCTGGCCCATACCATTATCCTGAGTTTCTTCTCCTTCCTGTATGCCTATGATGTGTAAGCGATGTCTTTTTATGGTGTCACACAATTCCTACATATTCCACTGCGGACACCGCCAGCTGCAGCTGCCCCTCCACTCTTTCGGTGCTGGGTGCTGTCTCCGGGCGCTGCCCCTCCGCTTGCATGGGCACCACCTGCGAACGCACGGGCACTGCCTCCTGGGCGCCACCTCCGATCACACAGGAGCCACCTCCAATTGCACAGGCACTGATCACAGGGGCATGCCCTTAGCTCCTCGCTGGGGCCGCAAGCTGTGGTCACTCTTCGCTCGTTGCGGCGCTGAGGCAGCTCTTCTGCTCCCCCGGTGCTGGGTCCGCTCTTCTGCTCACTGCAGCGCTGACTCTGACTGTCGCTACTTCTGTCTGCTCCCAGACCCCAGGGCTGGTGAGGAGACTGTGTCAGTGGAGCCGCATTCAGACACAGGAGACCAGGTTCGTTGACGCAGATCCAGTTTATTGTAGAAAGGCACAAGCTTATATAGGGGTGGGGGTCCAACAAGAAGTTACAACTCAGATCTTTGGCAGGGCTGTGTCCTATCATGACATCGGGAGCCAGACACCTCATTAGCATAATGGGTTTCAGATTACTTAGGTTCCGGTTTCCTTATGGGGCCTGGTTTCCTGGGAATCACGTGACCCAGGCTGTCTAAGTGTTGCAATTTGGGATCTCAAGGGTGGCAATTCGGGAGTGGCGAGCTCTAGGCATCAGTCTCATGATCTGCCAATGGAAGCAAATGTCACAAGTCGTTCCTTGTGGCTCCAGTGGTTGGGCCATTGCCTCGGGTCTGTCTCCCACATTCCATTCTTGTGTTTTCTTAATTTTTTCAAAATGTTTGCGTGAGTGGTTTTAGTAGTCCACTTTATCTTACAGTCTTGATATTGTTTTCCATTTCATTCATCCTATTGGTGAGGCTTTCTCCTATCATTTCTACTTAGCTTATTGAGTGTTTCACTTCCTTCTTCATTTCAGTCTGAGTATTCTTCAGTATTTCTCTTTTCTCAGTTCGTTTAGAAGTTTATCCCTATCTTCATTCAGTTCTTTGATTTCTTTGTGTGTTCTTTAAATTCACTCAATTCTTTATAATTGTTCTTTTGAACTGAATGTTCTGTGTTATCTCTAGGGGGTTCTTATTGTACTCCTCTACAGGACTGTCGGTATTTGATAGGGATATATTATTTGGGTTTTTCATATTATTATTTTTTCACTGTGACTTTGACATGTGGATTTCTTTTGTAGTTTCTGATTGTTGTGTGAGAGTCGAGCCTTCCTTAGTTGAGTTTAGGTCTGCTTCTTTTTGTAAACTTTATGTGCCTTTGTGGTTTACATGTTGGGCATGAAAAGCTAGGCTTCAGGTTGTCTCTTCTGGTTTTATATTGGAGGGGCCAGGTGGCTTTCATCCTGCTGCTCAAGAGTTCCCACAGAGGCCCAAGTTGGATGAGGATCAGCTGCTCAGCCTTTCTCCTAATGTCTGAATTCCTCTACTCAGCAAGCACAGTACAATTTGGGAGGATTGCTTGGTAGAGGTAGGATTCAGGACTCTTGGGCAGTCAGGGAAGGAGGCTGGTCTTGGGACTCCAGAGAAAGCAGGGAAGGAGAATGGTCTCAGGATTCCAGGTTGGGGGTGGGACAGCCAGGAATGAAGGCCATTCTCAGATATGCAAAGGCAAGGTGGAGGAAAGAACAGGCTTTGAGGGCTCCTGAGGACCAGACCAAGGTATTGGGCTGGTCTTGGTACAAAGGATCAGCAGGCAATGGGGAGTCTGGGCCAAGAGGGCAGTACAGAGTTCTGGGGTGCAAAGAGAAGAAAAGGGCCAGTGCCCACACCAGGAGGAGAGACAGAGTAGGAGAGCTGGGAGGGTAAATGAGGCTGTGGGAGTCAAGGAGGAGTGGCCAAGGGTGGAACTTACCCAGGAAAGATGCTAGTCCAAGGAAGCTGGGGGCTGGGCTGGCCAGTAATGAGGGCTGGTCTCATGCTTGCAAAGGCAAGGTGGGGGAGGGAACAAGCCTTGAGGGCTCCATGGGACCTGACCAAGGTATTGGGTTGGTCTGGGTGTAAAGGATCAGGAAGCAGTGGGGAATCTGGACCAAGAGGGCAGTCCAGAGGTCTGGGGTATCAAGAGAAGAAATGGGACAGTGCCCATGCTAGGAGGCAAGACAGAGTTGGGGAACTAGGCGGGTGAAGGAGGTTATGGGAGTGAAGGCCAGAGACCTCTACTTTTCAGTGTTTTACTAGAAGTCCTAATGCAATAAGACAAAAATGGTGAAAATAAAAGCATACTGACTGGGGAAGAACAATATAACTATCCTTGTTAGATGACATGACTTATGTAGAAAATCAAAAGAAATAGACACAATTGCTCATGAAACTAATAAAAGTTATATAAGGTTTCAGAATGTGAATACACAAAAAGCTATTGCTTTCCTATTTACCTGGAATGAGACTGGAAACTAAAATTAACATAGTACCACTTATATTAGCACTACAAAAGGTTAAATACTGAAATATGAATCTAACAAAGTATGACAAGATCCACATCAGCAAAACTACAAAACTCTAATGAAAGAAATCAAAGATTACTCAAATCAATGAAACTTTTTTCGTCTTCAGGGAAATTTAACATCTTCAAGGTACAATCTTATTTTTCACTTGATCTGCATTCAGTGTAATCCCAATCAAAAATCTCAGCAAGTTATTTTACGAGTATCAACAAATTGATCCTGAAATATATATGGAACAGCAAAAGACCTAAAGAAGCGAACACAAGCTGGAGAGCTGCCAGTGTCCAACCTCAAAACTTAGTATAAAGCTGTAGTATCAAGACAGTATGGTACTGACAGCAGAATAAACCAAGGAACAGAACAGAGCCCAGAAATAGAGCCTCCGTCAACTGATCTTTGACGGCGAAGCCAAAGCACAATAGAGCAAAGTTATTCAACAAATGGTGGTAGAACTGGATACTCACATGTAAAAACATAAATCTAGACACAAACTGTTCACAGAAGATAATTCAACATAGATTAAAGATGTAAATATAAACCATAAAAGGGCTCAGGAGATGCTCAGTGGGTAAAGTGTTTGCATAAACAAAGACCTGAGACTGGATCTGCAGCATCCACTTAAAAAAACATAGAAATATACACTTGTAGCCCTAGCACTGGGGATCAGGGGCTGGGGGAGAGACAGGCAGACACCAGGGGCTTGCTGGCCAGCAAGTCTAGTCAAACCAGTAAGCTCCAGGTTCAGTGAGAGACCTCAGCTCAGAAATAAGGTGAAAAAGGGATTGAGAAAGATATTCCAACATCTGGGTCACACACATACACACACACAAAAACTTTCTATCAAAGAATTCAAGAAAAGATCCAGACAGCCTCAAGTATGATGATGACATTAAATACAGCCCCAAAGGTCTGATCCATCAAAAAATTCATTAACTAGATTAGACTTTAATAAACTGACAAAATCAAGTATAGAAACCCTCTTCCTGCTTCCCAGACACCATCAGATAAGCTTCTCTGCTCTGCCACACCCTCCTTGCCATAACAATCTCTGAAGCCTTAAGCTAAAATATGTCCTTCCTTTAAAGCAGCTTTTTCAGGTATTGATTATAATGGCAAAAAGCTAATTAACAGCAACACCAAGAGAAACCTTCATATGAACTATGGATTTTCAGTGAAATGAGTATGTCAATGAAGGTGCATAAACTGCAGCAAATACAGCAATCTCTAGGAGAATGTTGATCCTGGAGGAAGCTATGTATATGTGGGGCAGGAAAGATATAGCAACTATTTTCAACTCAGAGAGCCTAAAATCTCTTTAAAAAGTCTTTTTTCTTTCTTTCTTTAAATCACAAACCAGACAGTTGAATAGATTAGAAGGGAAGAGGAAAATAAGTGTAGGTAATAAGCATATGCCATGCTCTCACTCTTCTAACAGCAACATAAAAATAAGACACTCTTACTTGATTTCCTTCACAGGTACTTTCTTCCGGAGAAGTTGCTCCACCATCCCTTGTTCTTCTGAGGGCAACAAAATTAATAAAGCTTCCCCATCCTCTTTGTACCTAAACAAAATGATTTTTAGATGCATCAATATAATTTTCATTTTGTACTATATCAGCAAAATGAGTAAGTTATAGAAAAACAAGTTCACTTAATTAGTAAATGACACAAATATCAGGTTTTAATCTTTTGTGGCAACAGAAAAGTGGAGTTCTGGCTGCCTTCTATGAAATTTCAAGCACCCGCTATAATCCCTGTTGCCTTTAAGGCTGTACCTCAATAGTAGAATTAGTATCAAAAAAAGCAATTAAAGGCAATTCATTTTTTGAGACAGGGTCTCAATACTGAATCCAGGATGCCCTTGAATTTTCTATATACTCCACAATGGTCTCAGGTGACATCACACCAAGCTCTCAATAAATAGTTCCATACCAATATAGCAAGGAGACTATTTTTGACTCAAACCATAAGAGTAATGTAATAAAATTACTTACTAAACATGGCAGTGTAATACACTCAAGAAACCAGCTTGCCAGGCACATTGAGACATGCCTGTAATTTCAGCACTCAGAAGGCTGAGGCACAAGGATTGCCATAAATTCAAAGCAAGGATGAACTATATAGAAAAACCCTGTCTCAAGGGGGGAAAAAAAGATTAAATAAATGAATCAATTCATCTTCGTAAGGAATTTATTGATACATTTGGAATAAAATTATTTAGAGGAATCAGTTTAAAACAATGGATCTACTCAGGTAAACAATTGCCTCCCATTCTTGTAACTGCTCTTTCCTTAACTAAAGCAAAGTTTTATTTCATATTACACCTTCAGGAATTTGTACTGGCACAAATGCTTCCTAAAGTTACTGAACTTTCTTGTGCTACTTGAATACAGCTTCTTGATACTACAGTGCCAGTTGGTACATGTAAGCAACAAAACAGAATTGAAAGGGTATTTCAAGAACTTTTTAGATAACATAGAAGAAAACTTAATCTCAATGCATTCTCTTGAAAAGTCACGCTATAAAATTTGAGAGTACATTTTTTGTTTGGTTTGGTTTTTGTTTTTTGAGACAGGTCTCTCTGTAGGCCCAGTTAGCCTGGAACTCACTATGGAGAATAGGCTGGACTTGATCTCACAGAGATCCCCCTACCTCCTGAGCACTAAGATTAAAAGCGTGCCCCATCACACCCAGCTAAGAGCACCTTTTTATAACTAACCAAATAACTATTTAATAAGAAATCAGGCATAAACTAATGAATGCAAAGAAACAAAAGTTATGAAAACTCATGTCATCAGGAGATCTAACATTCAAGCTGAGTAGGAAGGAAAAACACACGCTAGAGATTCAGGAGACAATAAGACTTCCAAAGGACTGCTACAAGCCACAAATACCACCAATTCAGAAGTAGAAAAAAGACTACTCAGGAGTGCCAGAGGAAAAGATATGTCATAGCAGATAGAATTTCAGGTAAATCCGTACAGCAAACAGAAAGGAAAAAGCTAAGGTATTCCAAAAGCAGGGCATGTCCAAGTAAGGACAATGCAAGGCTAACAGTAATGAGAGAACTTAAAACAAAGACCACCGGTGAAATACAAAAACAGACAGCAGAGAAGATTACTAAAAAGGTGTGGAAGAGCCTGATTTTGCACTACTTTGGATGCCTCTACAGAGATTCCACAACAATGTCTGCAAACAGTAGTTTATCACTGAATGCTGGAGGGAAAGCTGGTTTAACAACTTACTGAGAAATGGTACTGTACTTTATTTTGAAAACTAAAGGGCAGTTTTTTACTTTACATGTTAGCTTTAAAACCCAACTCCATTCTAATAAGAAAAAAATATATCCTTATATACACGGCAGAAAGCTATGAAATACAACATCCTAAAAATGCTATCTTACTGTAGCTAATTCATTAATTTTGAAAAATCTTATCAATATGCCAGGCACTGAAATGGTGAGAAAACAGATACAGTCCTAATTAACAGAGCTGAGAGCCTATTTGAACAGGTGTTAAAACCAGTAATAGTAGAGGATTTAAGTGTAAGGGAACATGCAGGAAGCTATAAGAACCTGACAGAGAATTCTACCAAATGTAATCTCAGTATTAGACCACTGCCCTGAAAAAATGACACCTAAACTAAGATCTAAAGAATCAGCAACTAGTCGAATGCTAAGGGTAGAGCTAAAAGGGAGAGTGGTTTCCAGTATTTCAGAATCCTGTGGATACTTTTGTCTTTGTGCTGATTTGCTTTTTCTAGCAAAAAAAAAAAAGTATATACATATATATGTATATATACACATGTGTATTTATATGTGTGTATATGTATATATATGAACATACAGATAAGTCTTTGCCTGATTATCTGTTTCATAACTGAAAAACTAGTAGTAAATAACTTGTTCATTGTTGTTTGAATATAGTATTGTATAACTCAAAGTTGTTCATCTTCATTTAGTATGAAAATGTATGAATTTTAAAAATTCCCCATTAGTCATATTGGATTAAACCATGTATGATGGCAGAAGTTATTAGTATATAAAATAACAAGGTCACACCCTGAGTAAACAAGATGGCTGACAAATATCACAACTGCTGCAGCTCCAAGACCTCACTAGGGACAGTCAGAGGACTGGAACTGCAGAGATGGCTCAGTGAGTAACAGCAGCACTTACTGCACAAGCATGAGGACCAGAGTTCAGATCCCCTGCATCACGTGAAAGTTGGGTATGGCCACACTCACATGGCCCTCAGACAAGCACACGTGGACACATACTCACATACTCACACATACTCACATATGTACATACACATAAATACATGTATACCACCACCACAACCCACACAAACACACAGAATCAGAAGACTGGAATCAGCAAATACTGACTTCTTTCCAAGACACTTACCAAAGCACTCTCAAGGGCTACCACACTGAAGGTCAAATCACAAGCCTTCCTACTTCTAAAAGTAATCTGTATAGCTCAGATAGGAATAGCTAAGAACAGAAAATAGTAGGTGAAAGCAATGCTTTTAACTTTCTAGATCCAAATCCAGAGAGCAAGATGAAATAAATAAATACACAAATCTGCATGGAACCAAAACTGGCTCCAGAGTTAAGAAAAATCTCTAGGAGACTAAAAAGGCATCCAATGAATGTTCTCTACCTAACAAGCAGGAATAAGAAGGTTAGTCATATCCACTCATTCATGCATCCAGGGAAATAACCTGAAAGAATAAGTCTGGATTAAAGTCACAAAGAGACCATTCCCAAACTCTTCAAAGGTCTAGCCAACAGAACACACACATATAGCTATACATGGCTAAAAAAAAGCATTTAGAAGAAAAATATTGCCAAAGGAAAATAGAAAATGAGAGCCAAAGTTAAATCTCACATGAAAAGTATCTATTAAAGATCACTAGCCACTGTATTACATTATATATAAGTCTCCAAAATAATATGAGGCACAAATTATCTCCCACATGCTGATAACCAAATAATTCTAGTAAGCTGTTATTTAAGGGATAAAAGCACTTTTACAAAGAAAGGATAGTGCATTTATTTTGTCTTTAATGCTTATAAGAACAAACTTTATTTGTCCAAGTTAGCTTTTAAATTTCAAAAGCAATATCCTAGGCCCAAAGCTAAATACATGTATAACCATTCTTCATAAGACCTAAATTTTGAAATTCCATTTACTTAGACATTATTTTAAGAGACATTCATGGCATCACATAAAAAGCCTTACATTTAAAGATTCTCATATTCATCATCAGTATTACTGATTCTCAATTCTTTGAGAACTTCATCTTATGTTAATTTGAAAATCTTAAAAGCAAGCAGCCAAAAGAAGCAAATACAACATAAAGCAAAGTGGTCCTAAAGATCAGTTGGTCACTACATATCAAGATTACTTAAAACTTATTATCCACTGCTTTTCAATTACAGCAACAACAAGGCTCTTCAAGAGAACAATGACAAGAAGCTTATCACAAACCCAGCAGCTACACTAGTATTCCTACCTAAAAGTAGAGATTCGAAGCATTGGGTTGGATGCAGATGCATTTTTCCATTGAAATGACCTTCAAACTATAGAGTAAAGAAGGAAAAGAGCACTGCTAACTTGTGGGTGATTTTACTTCTTACTCAAGGGATCGCCTCCATTCTATTCAAGTCTCTGCCCATTCCTACATCTAACTACTGTCCCATGGTAGAACTGCCCAGCCACCCCCACTCATCCCAGCATGGTTTAAGTTGGGTTATCGATTCCACTTTGTAACTTAAAAACATATATAAACACAAGCATATGTGGTGGAAATTTCTGGGAGGTTTTTGGTGATTTGAATTGTTTTGTTATTGTTGCCTGGCTCTGTATAGTGAGTATTTATAAAAAAAAAAAAAATTACAACTAGCAATTTGACATACTTTCAAACCTATTTTTCTTATCTCTCTGATCTCATTCACCACATAGTATAACTAACATTTTATTTACCAATATTTACCAATACCAATATAATTTACCAATATTACCAAAATTCCTTACCTGAACCAATAAATTTGAGGACACACACACACACACCCCACATACCATGGGTCCCTGGTAACTATTCAATAACTATTTGGTGAATGAATGAAAGCAAATGACAACTACAAACATCATCAGTTGATAAAGCACTAAACTTACAATAAGAATTGCTTTCAGGCCTTTTGTACTTTTCATTACCTATGTAACTGGATACTTTATTATTGCTTACTATATTTTCTTACCTATACAATGTACAACTGAATCTAGGTTCCCTTACCAATCTAAAATTAGTTTGACTACTAATGAAGTAGCCATTGATCACAATTTAAGTATCAAGAACAAGAGCTAGAAAGAGCTTGCTAATAACCATTCCAGTCCTTCCCTCTTCCTCTCCCTGTGTCTCTTTCTACTCTCCTTATACCTCAGCCTTACTTATAGCTGTGACCATCAAATTTCCATGTCACTGTGGACAAGCAGTGCAGTCTCACACAGATGCAGAAAGGCAGCCATAAAGAATCCAAGTCCAGGGCTCTCTTC